ACAAGATGGGGGGGACCAAGAATTGGGGATTGAAAACGGGTGATGGAAGTTGGAGCAGGACATTAAGGATTAAAAAGCGCAAGCAGGAGAATAAGAAGGCGGAAAGACCTTAAATTAGCATTCAAACCCCTGTTCACTCTGCTCCATGCAGCAGATAGGGCGCCGTTCATTATCCTCTGCTACCTCCAGAGCATCAAGGAATTCAAATCGTAAAACATTGAGTCCCTTTCAGCCACTTCTTCACTCTTCTTTCGAAGACATAGTTTGAGATATGTCAACATTTAGATTGTTCTCATCAGTCACATACACAACACAAGCAGAAACACCGACACAAAGATATGTACGGGAAAAGCTTTGGCACACCAATGAAATCAAGACTAAGGCAATCTGATTGATTGCCTCATGAGTTTCTGTGCACATAGCACAGGTTGATATTCTTTCATTAGCAACACTTCTCTGATTGCCATCATTATCGAGTTCCTGTTACGTAATAACATCTTGAATGCATTATTCGGGTTCACTTGATGACCAGTTGTCAAATGGTGCTTGGCGATAGACGATGCCGGATTCCGATTCATTCTGTGGGGCTCTACGTCCTGTTGCACCCTCATTTGTTCGACCCAGTGGAAAGTGCTCAGCCACCCTCTGAGCCAACCGACGGTTAGTCTTACGTATGTAAGCATCAGCGCAACTGCAGGGGAGCTGTTAAACCACATGAGAGGCCGAATTAGCCGAAGGGTAGCTCTGACGGTCTTGAAGAACCAGTTTCCGGGTAGTGTGTATGTGACGCAACTGGGCAGTCGTGTACGTGCGCGTTGGGGCGGTCCTGAGCTTGTGTCCGATATCATTTGCCACACGGTCCCCCTTGACCGGCAAAACCCAATAGACAGCTTTTTTCTTCGCCGTTTGCACCGGCAGTTTCTTCTCGTTGGGTGGGTCTGCTGTGCACTTGGAGAAACTCTTCTGGATAACCATTCGATACTAAGGTCCTATACAGAAACTCTTCTTCAGCCTCCAGCAATTCCGGATTACAAATTCGTCTAGCCCTGTAGAAGAGTCTTTTCACCAGGCCGCCTCTGTATGCAACCGGGGCAAGACGGGAAAAGTGAAGGTGCCTTCACTTTTTCCCATGTATATATTTGTGTCGAGATTTCTGCTTCTATTTGTATTCGACTGATGAGAACAACCGAAATGTTGGCATATCGCAATCTGGGTCTTCTTTTTGCTTGAAGAAGCATCAAGAAATTGTTAGAAGGAAGGTTCATTGCGTTGCGTGGGCAGAATACTATCGCATTGCCCAGGTCTAGACGGGAAAACAATTAGACTTCGCAACCAAAGTCTTTGGTTGAAAAACCTTACTGCAAGGCAGCGGGGTTTTGGCACTGGACTACAGAGAGCCCGTTTAATGGAGTAAGGAGCCACCTTCGCTTCAACTCCCAACTTGAGGAGCCAGGGGACTGAGTTTATCAGGCCTCTAACCATTGGCCAATCTGGTGTGACTGGCTCTGTAGATGCGTAAAGCAACATCCAGCATAGCTCAGTGAATCACTGAGACACACAAACCATCGCACCACGTTAAGGTCTAGTCTCGTCGCGATGGCCTGTAATGATAACGGTTGGGCTTCGCTTCATTTGTGTGAAAATGCTTGCTCTTTTCTCGCGAGCACCAGCTTCTGACACAACGCTCACATAGCAGTGATATGGTGCTCAGCAGCCTCGGACTAGACATAAACGCAAGTCGACCACTTCTCCATCAATTACCGCTGAAGAGGCTGTGTCCAAAACTGTGGATCAGTCTAGAGCTCGAGCGTGAACTTTGATCACGCTCTTGTACGTACCGATCTGCGCGTAAGTTTTGGCAGAAGTCCGCAACGGCTCTGTGAGTGCATCGATATTTCCAACTGGTGAAACCGGATGTTCTGAATACGTATCAAAGCACGCTGGCATGCTTATTGAGTAATCGCTCGGTGAACAGTGTTGAAGATCCCTGTTCGTATATCCGCCAGACTTTATTAGCAGCAGCTATGTTTTCATGCGGAAAATCAAATCGCCAACCGGAACATTGGATGTCTATGAAGTCTCTGGAACTATTGGACGCTCGCCGACACATTCCAAGTGGAAGCGAACATGAGACTCGCAAAATCCTCAAAGCCTAACTGCGTGCTAACCTGAAGGGAGACCGCAAATCCCGGTGGTTTTATCGTGCCTCGGAGATGGAAATGGCCACTGCCTTTGGTAAACATCGGAAATTCTTCCGTCTGCTACGCGAAACGGGCAGAATGAGACCTGGTGTTAACGAGAGCATATGTGATGAAAGTGGATCGGCAATCCACAGCTTTTCAAAACGTTTTTATCATTGCATCGAACACTTTGAAATGCATCTTAATCAACCAAAGCTACCAGCTATTCCATCGGTTAATGATTAGCCTACTCCCTGGGCCGTCTTCTAGACCCGCCTTCATGCGCAGAAGTCGAGGCTGAGATCAGACTGTTTCAAGTGAATAAGGCTGCAGAAGCAGATGGACTTCTTCCAAACCTTTTCAACGTCGATGTACTAGCTGTCATGGATGATAGGCACAACTTACTCGTGAAATTGTAGGAGCAGGAAACTGTCCCCGCAGCCTGAAGCCTCTCCGTCATAGTACCATTATACAAAGTTATCTCACGTTCGGAATACAGCAATCATAGAGGGATCAGTTTGATCCTCATCGCTTCTAAATTACTGCCCCGTCGTTCCCTACAGACTGGCTGGCACCCGTGAAATTCCGACTGCAAGATGTAAGCCTAGATGTGTCGAAATCGGTGCTGCATTGACCGTATCTTTACTTTAGGTCATTTGTTGGAACACCATCTTTATTGGCGGCGTACCGTAAAAGGTGCCTTTGGTTCGCTGGATTGACGTGTTCTTCGAGACTACCTACTCAGGAAAGGTGTGCCCGAAAAATACGTTAATATTCTCGGAGCGCTCTATTCGCATGGTTCGGACAGAGTAAAGGTTTATGTCAAACTGTCGTCGCCCTTTAATATCTCCAGCTGACTGAGACAAGGTTGCCCGCTGTCATTTTTTTCTCTCTAACTTCGTCATTGACGATGTCATGGAAACGGCGTTGGCTGCACATGATCCACAGGGTGCGCGGCAGCCCACTGTTGAGCAACTGCTTGACTTGGAGTATGCTGACGGCATTGCCCTAACCTCTGACTGCTCCCGAATGTGCTCAGCAAAACTGGCTTTCAGTCGTTTTTGGCTATGCTTTGTACCGTCCAAATGCCAAGTCCTCCCCCAAGATTGGCAGGGACCCACCCCTGCACTGACCCTTGGTGGTGATCAGCTAGAAGTCGTTTGGAAATTCAAGTTTCTATGCAGTCATGTTAGCATCTCTGGGATGGAAGATAAGGTCACGGACTTTAAAGCAATAGCTGGAGGCGCTTTTGCTCATCTCTGCCACCTGTAGCGCCGGAGCAACAACGTTTTCGCCCTAAATTGCAGTGTTTACAATGCAGCCGCCAGTTCAACCTTCCTGTATGATTGTGAAACCTGGCCCATCAAGTCGACAGACATAAATAGGCTCGTCACGTACGATCATCGCTGTCTTCGCAGCATAGCTTATGTTTGGTGGGAACACCGTGTGAGCAGTGAGCGTATTCGGTGCAGGAAGCGTGAGCGAACCGCTCAGCACTAGGATCCGATAAGTGGGTCACGCGTTGGGCATGCCAACACACCGATTCTCGCATCGTGCGTTGTTTGCGCGCCGGGAGTGTGATTGGAATAAGAGGAGGGGAGGTCAAACGATGGCTTGATCAAGGGGCATGGAAACCCTCACTTCGAAGTTGGCGTCGGTTGGTGCCTCCCGACTATCGGACTAAGGTCCCTCCCTGGAGGCTTGCTCAGACCATTTCCGTACAGTTACCGTAGATTACAGAATATAAGCCGATAACATGTGTGCAGTGTTTCATTTCTGTGTTGGGAAATCGGCTTATAAAGAGGCTACACGCTCCTTGAAAACAGTCACATACAAAATCCACCCAGGAATTCACTGCATGCCCCTGCCCCTATCTCCCCTTAGTACCACCCGCTAGTCACGGCCGATACCATGAATCATGTGACGACGCGTTGGCGCTATTGTAGATAGCGAATCAAAATTGCCTGCACATTACGGTCACGACAACTGACCAATAGTAGAGCAGGTTCCGCTTGAGCACATACAAGTGAGAGCAAGTAGTGATGTCAAAATCGTCTTTTTTGCGACTTTTTGGGGTCGGCAAATATTGGGACTTACGACTTTGGACAATTTTGATATTACTAAGTTATACTGTCCGCCTATCCATGGAGGGCTTGTATTCGGTAATTTACAGTAAGCAAATGTTGTCTCGGCACCGTACTGCTGAATATTCAATTACCACAGCTCGCTTCGCCAGCGTAACATTAAAAAGTAATGGTGAGGAAATGAGGTGTGGTGTAAACCGAATACAAAGAGATTAGGCGAAATCAATCGAGATGCACTCTTAATAGCCATATGCGAGGAACAGGGTGTAGGAATGCCCCTGACCGCACGACCGCGCCATATCCGATAGTGTCTACAACTACTGATGTGTTTTTTCCCTATGTCTCAATCCACGAAGAGGACACCGTGCAGCTTAATCAAGTCTCTCAGTCAGTTTCGCCATGTTCCATGCTCCATGGCTAACGTAAGCGGTTCTAGTTTGGTAGACACTTCAGTGATGATATACCAATCTGTGATAAATGTCAACTGCCCGCATATAACAAACCAGCCTTTTTAAGGCTGTGCACATTTTTATTGTAAAGGCGCTCCATCATTTCTTAACTAGAGACCATCCACTGCCCACTTTGCTCAGTAATTGACGCTACTCCTTTGCATCAACTCGCCTCAATTGAACAGAGTGAGCTACGTCAAACACTGTTACCATATCGCTTCGCGTGTACTTTACGTGCACTCTTTCTACCCATTTCTTGTTGTTTTCATCTCTTTCTTCATTTTCAGGGCTCCCTTTTAGTGATGGAGTCTCATCTGCGTTCTTACGACAGCACCATGATACCAGAATTGAACACCTCTCCGTTGACTGATCCGCTTCATTCTGCTTTCAGGGGCCTCCGTCCGGCTTCGTGTTCCCCTAGGACTACCGTCTCTGCTTCCAGGGCGTCCAGCGCACAGCATCCGCTTATCTCCGACACTGTGCAGCGAGCCTACTCGGTAGTGTTTGCTTTTTACAAAACTCTGATGCGCCTAATGCTCACTGCTCCTACCCGAGCTGCTATTCTCTTCGGTACGATTTCCATCTGTTTACCTACTCCTGTCTGTCTTCATTAAAGCTATAATCTAAACATAGTGTTCACTGTTTTAGATGATGAGGGAACCTCTGTGGACCCTTCAGTCTCCATCCAGACGCGTTTGATCAGCTTGGGTGTGCAGCTGTTGATCAATTGGTCTGATTTTGTAACCGTTACATATCCAAGAGGACGTGGACGCATTCCCCGCTGGGCGAACGACGCGTGTCACTTTGCTTATCAGTTGTGCCAAGGAAGGTCTGTCAGATTTTTGGATGTCAAAACTGTATCAGTAAGTTCATGTTGATGGGGCACTCGTTGATAGTTAGCCTATGTAGTGGAATTGCACACCTGTCTAGGCAGTGGCGTAGCAACTACTTTTGCCGTTCGGGCCGGGCGTAAAATTACCGCCCTTTGGCAGTTGTAAATCCACACGATTGCAAACAGACGCTATATATTTGAATTCATATAACCACAAAGATCAAGTTTCAAGTACTGCCGTAAATGCAGGTATTTGTATTGTTACAATACTCGTGTACAAAACTTACAGGTACAATTTTTGCGCATTACTTGAGGCGAGAGTATGGTTAACACCAACAAAATTCAGTCCATTAGAAAATTCCCTCTCTATGGTAAGAACTGCCAATCGGTGAGCTTTGTCTGGTTCATTAGTCATCATCATCATCATCATCATCAACAGCAGTACATCAGCCATTTGAACTGATGCTTCGCTGCCATACAACCATGAGGACCTATGAAATAAAGAATAAGAAAAGGGAGAGAAGAGGGACTTACCTGAAAACCTTAATGTCCTAAGCAAACATTCAAGGTCAAGGCGCCTACACCTTGTGTAGACAGCATACCGTCACAAACAGCTGGCTATCGTGCAGATAAGGCGGTTCATTAATGGTTAAAGGTAATTCGTTATAAGCTTGAGGTTTGAGAATGCGTGCTCAAAGCTGGCTGTGCTGACAGTTCGAGTACTAAAGATGCGCAGCAGAATTCAAAAGTGATATTCCTGCATTAAGTTCAAAATTTCAGAAGATCCATTAATTCTGTTGTTTCCTGAATCTTTCACGAAATGCTGCAACCCTCTCCTTTCTACAAGGAATTCTTCTTTTTCTATATCTTCCTCAACTTCACTAAGCGATCAACCATTGTTAGTATCAAGCAGATGTAACGGTGTAAAGAATGCATATTCGTTTTCAACTTCTTGACGTTTCTGCAATCTATAGCATTTTGTCAGTCAAATTGACCATGACAAACAACCACTTTTGTTTTAACTCATAGATAGATCAGCAATATATCAAACAACTCTTCTCCGTCCATTCATTTCTCTCAGCGGATTCGACTCTCCACGCTTACCCGCAACTCAGCGTAGTTTTTCTCTGCTTCGTCCATTTCAATGTCAACCATTTCTATCTACCCTGTAGAACGAAAACTGTTAATATTGTAAGCTTGACTGCATTTTGCCGCAGATGCAACTTCTTGCGTTTAGACATTATCATGCATCCTACATTTCTATGAGAACAGATCTCCAAACGCTCAGAAACAAACTAAACAGTAACAATAACATCGGCAACGACAACAGCAACAACGAGGTGAGAATCAAAGATGCATCTGGTCTTGTGCTTGCATTTTCTCATTAATGTGTGAAATGTTATAGCGAAATGATGAGTTCTGAGTGTAAGTGACAGATTCATTTGGGGCTCGAGTGACTCGTAAAAACTCCCGGATCCAGCCAAGAATGGAAGTTGAGACGTTAACTACGGTACTATTAAACAAAATAAAACTCAACTACATATTTACTTACTTCAACAGTGCCCGTTCAGTCCTGAGACAACCGCGTCTTCGTACAGTTATACAATGCAATAGCGTCAGCACACGTGCTACCGTACAGCAAGACCACACAGCACAGCTTCCAAGAAAAGAATACGAGGGTACTTTTTATGGTGTCCCAAATCTTATCCCATTGGTCCGCGGCACAACACACAGGAAGCTACAAGATGTCATTACGTTCAAATTGAATGAGATTAACGCGTCTCAGTGCGAATATGAGCTCAAAGACCAACAAGGACCTGGGTGCCCTTGGAGTGGTTAGTAGCACGGGGTGGGAGTGCACAATCGTCACAGCGGGTATGGGATGAGAGCAAATTAATGCCGAGTGGTGAGACACCTGGACATGTTGCACAGTATGGGCTCGTTCGTGTCTTGCAGCGGGGTGGGAAGGAAACCACGTAGACAGTTAAGAAAACAATGAATCGCACAATAGCCCGTGGGAGCAGATGTCAGATAAGGATATCGGAAACAAGTCTCTATACCATGGTGTGAGTTGCAAGGCAAACATGGAGCTTCACATAGTTAGTCGCATGGGGTAGACGAATGGGTTATCCGGGACCTCGGCAGACCGCGGATGTTGTGGCCATCTGAATATGATCTTGACATGCAGGCTGCGGTGTTCATGGTAATTCTTCCGTCTACACTGAGTATTCCTTCACCACGCCGTTTTGAGCGCCTGCTTGACAACTCTATCTAGATTTTACAGCTGCCTGTAACTTATACCGGTGACTTGAATCAAAACATTCCAGCTATATTTAGAAGTAAAGCGGATGAGAATAGCCGGTCTATCCTGTAAAAATGTAACAGAATGCTCCGTCGCAGGAGCTTCATGAGCACAAGCTGGATTCAGGGAATGGTTTATGCATAATACAGATATGGCTTTGGATTGATTTCGCAGAGGTCTGTGCGCACCTGACTAGCAGCTCACCATATCAGCAGCGTTGTTTGATACCTGGCCAAAGCAGTCACCAATCAGAATTTCGTGATTCTCCGCTTCATTCAATACCAATCTAGTAATTTGCTCAGCTCTTTTTCTATTACTTCCTTACGAAGGTGAGAAACGACTCCTCTGCCGTCATTTCATTTCCACTCATCTGATTTCTGGGAAATACTTCGGAAGTGCTATCAAAAATTAAGCCAATGTAGTTGCTTTCCTTGACCTGATCTACGATTTTCTTTCTCACCTACTTTACCAAAATGCTCACTAATTCATTTTGAACGTGTGGCGACAAAGAAAAAGTGCTGATTTTCCTTCCCAGCTGAACTGTCACCAAATGTTCACAAAGAACAGGTTCATACTTGACCAACAAAAGTACAAATGTTGAAAAATTCCCTCTTTTTTCCCGGCTCCTTCGTCATCTCGGATGCGTTTCGGAGACCGCACGATGTCCTCTTTTGCTCGACGGGAAACCTGAGCATATCAATTATTCAAGTCAAAATTTCACGCCACAACTTTTCTACAATTCCCTTCCTTCAAATTACCGGATTTCTAGCTCCTTAGGGAATGACGATCGACGAGGGAAATTTTAGAGTGTACGTGTCAGTTCATCGGTTGCTTAGTAATGCGTATGTTATCAGATAAAATTAAAGGATTACATCCTGCGCTATGTGCAAAAAAGAGTCCTGTCGCGCATCTCAGCCCACACAGGCTATTAGGTGATGCGCGATTTGTAATCGTGGTACAAACACCTACGTGTCCGGGTTTCTATGTAGATAAGCATTGGCCGAACTAAGCCCCACCACGGGGCATGATGCAAGCGTGAGACATGAAGGTGCTGAGGATTGTAAAATGTACCGGAATTGATCAGGATATTCAGGTCGATACAACAGAATCATTACAGTGATATATATATATATATATATATATATATATATATATATACATATACATATACATATACATATATATATAAATAAATAAATAAATAAATTTGTATATTTACCGACGGACGGTACACGGCCCCATAAGTGGGAGCGATCATGTGTATAGTGAACACGTTTCATAACATTAAATAAAAGTTTACTAATAGCGTTTCGGATCATGATTACTTTTCCTTGAGTCCTAGACCCGCGGAACTCATATGTAAAATTTACGGATGTTTGTATCGTCAGGAGTAGATAATAAACGAAGGGACTATTAGGCTGCAAAGACACAGGATTTGGTATGGTATGTAATGACATGTAGTGGGTAAGCTAGCTGTAAGCTATTATCAAATGTTTTTTATACCAACTTCTGTCAGTGTTTCTAGTGTTTGCTGTGAGTCAAATATCTTCAGAGCATTTGGTATAGTGAGGAAGGTCTGAAGGAGATTTCGAAAGGTGACATGGCTTGTACACATGCGTATCTGTAGGGGTAATTTGTTCCACAAATAAGTGTATCTCATTAAGAAGAAATTCGATCGAATTTTATGACTTGAAAGGTTTGTACGTATCAAGTAGCCGCCATTACGTGTGGGGTAGACTGCAGTCTTCCGCAGTTCAAGTGCGGTGCTGTCTGCGTAAATTCGTTGGTTTATAATGTTGTAGAAGAGAACGAGGTTGTTTTTTAAGCGTCTCAGCCAAAGTGGATCCAGCTGCAGTCTTCGACAGCGATCATAATAAGTCAGGTTTGAGCAGCGTCCCATGAGCAGTTTGGTAAATGATCGTTGGACATTTTCTAGAGCCGTTCTGTCTTTCTTTCTCAATTGGCTGTGAAGGATAGTACAATACTCCAGAGTCGGTCGTACGATTGTCTTGAATGATTCAAGTCGTACTTCAGGTAGGGAGAAAGTTCTGGTGATATATCCGCATAGCTGCCTCGCTTTCGCAACCTGATAAAGAACATGTTCGGAGAAATTGAAAGAGTTGGAGTACCTAATTCCTAAGTCCCGAACTGACTCAGACGTTGGGATCACGTTTCCGGCAAGTATAATGGAGCCTTCTGGGATGCGGCATCTGTACCCAAGTACTTGGGATTTCACTGCGGAGAACTTCATTAATAAGCGCTCACTAGCTATATTTAGTGCGGATAGGTCTTCACAGATGTTTCTTAAACACATGTGTAGTTGGTCCGGATGAAATGAGTAAACCAGTTTGACATCATCTGCAAACAGAAATGGATGTCCATGTTTGATTGGGTCACATATATTGTTTACATAGATTAAGAAAAGTAGCGGTCCGAGCACACTTCCCTGGAAGACACCGCTGGTTATTGGCTTCGGTGTAGAATGTTGCTGACCGATTTTAACGACCTGAGTTCGACCGTTTAGGTATGAGTCGAACCAGTTAAGCAGCGGATTTCCAATTCCATATGACTCTAGAGCAGACAGCAGTGGCTGGTGTGGCACGCGGTCGAAAGCCTTTTGCATGTCCAACAGAATTATGATAATTGCCATTCCTCTGTCAATATTAGTCGTGATGTGATCAAGAAATTGTAGCTGGCATGTAACGCAGGAGCGTCTTGAGAGAAAGCCG